CTGTTCTCACCACTAATGGGTTCTGAAGATTCTGTTTGCTTCTGAGGCCATTTAGGAGTATGCTATAAAGCTCTTATTTGCAGAGTTCTAATATTGTAACGGCAGAAGACGAAGGACTTGGTAGAAGAATGTTTATTTTTAATTAGGTAACTCTATATAAGGAAATTATGTACACATTATCTTCAATGCACTATTTACACAGATCTTCCGTGTTGTGCATCTTCTCGCCTTCATTCACATTGTGTTTCTTTGAGTTCTTTTCACATCCCCCATGTATCTGTGCTTTCTCTGACATCAAATCTATCTGTGTGTTATTTGATTTGTTTTATGTCGATGAACATTGCTTTGTATACTACTGATAAGTCTTATCAGTAGCACAAGTCAGAATATGTAATTATATTCTGCTACACTGTGCAAATGCTACTCTTGCATTGATGATGTTGAATTCATGTGTAGAATGTTTCGTAGAAATGCCTACTAATCATGTACTATAAACCATGGTGAAAATTCTTTTTGTTAGTCTGATAATTTTCTGAAGATCAATATTTCATATCACTCATAACTTCATTTTCATTGTGAAAATCATATTCTTGTTGGGAATATTTAACAGAGTGAAATTCATGATCAAAGATGAAATGTGCACTTTAGTTACGAAAGGAATTGAAACGTCAACTTCTATGGAGTCTACCTGCTTAGCAGGTCTTATTTTTACGCCTTTTCATATTACTGTTAATCATGGTCACCTAGGTCAAAATCATATTCATTCAAGTTATCGCTTTCTTCATCCAGAAATGTTAACTGACATAGGATTAAGCTGAAAAAGAGTTATGGGTGGTCAGATGAAAATATAATATCAATCCATGAAGCCTGCGACTATTGGTTTGAGCCGTGTAAGGAAGTGTAAACTATCTAGTCGGAATTTTTCGAGACGTTAAGAAACCAATGGTTTGAAACGATTAGCGATATGTCTCTAAACTGTTCTCAATGGCTCAGATGCAATCACTCTTTTCAGTCCCCCAGATCAATTAAATACTCATGTTTTTCCATGTTACTTTTATTTTCTCCCGTACATTTCCACTCACCATAGTTCTTTTGAATGTCTTTTTTCTCCAGCTTTGTGTGCTACCGTTATAACTGCACTGAACTGAATGAGAACCGTAGTCACTTTGTTATGTCTGCGCCTGCCAAATATGCCTATTTGCCCCTTGTGTCTTCCAGTTCACTGGTCGGTCGGTTTTCGACATAGAACTTTGCACATATATGCGGCAGTTCAAGTCGCCACACTCCATGTAGTACACAAAGCAAGAGAAGAAAGTAGAAGAAATGCATAATATAGTCAGTAAACAGAGGTGTGAGCTGCTGCTGGATTCAACATAGAACTTGGCACCGAAGTGCAGCAGTTCGAGTTGCCACGTTCCAAATAGCACACAAAGGTAGACAAGAAAATGAGTGAAGAGAATCAGTAGAATTTAGACAAGTATAAGAGTGAAACAGAATGAGTAATGGTAGAAAGGAATATGAAAGGTTAAAGAGACTGAATACATCTGCGCTATTGACAACGATTTCGAGCCATGCCGCCTAGTGTCTCCAGCCATTGATTCTTAGAGCTTTCGGTCGGGTTGAGGTGTGAGACAAAGGAATAGTAATAACGGAGAACAAAACAGTTTAATTGGAAATCATACGTCACAAGGAGTGGATGCATCTGCGCCATTGAGAACGATTTTGAGCCATGTCACTAATTGTTTCCAACCATAGGTTTTTACCGTCCCGAGGACCCCAACCAGGAAGTCTACATCTTCTTACGTGGCTTAAGCTAACTGTTGTGGATTTCATTGACTGGTGCCATGTTTTCCTTTGACCGCCGCTAGCTCTTTTCCAGCCTGGCCCTATATCAGCTAACATCGCCCGTCGAGGAAGGCGATGACTAGGCATGCGTAGCACATGTCCTAACCATCTCAGTCGATGTAATTTCACAGTTTCGTCGACTGATTTCCCCTCCTTACCTAGCACTCGACGCCTAACCTCAATATTGCTCACCTTATTATACCACTTCACGCAGGAGATAGAACGCAGACATCTATGATCGAACACAGCTAATCTTTTCATATCTTCTGCTCCCAATGGCTAGGTCTCACAGCCATAAAGGAGGATGTAGCGGACTGTTGAGCAGTCCGCTGAGCAACGCAAATATCAAAAGACAAAGGCTAGCCTGTAACCGTATATTGTAACCCCCAACAACAGTTATTAGGAAAACGTTTTTACAACAATAAAGACGGCTAACAGCGTTTGAAATAATTGATCGCATAATCAATGACAATATGCGTGAGAAATGATGGTATACTATTTTATGCGGGATCCTATCAACTCCCCCCGTAAAATGTGCAGGACTTGCTTTTTGGATCTGGTTGGAGAATTTTTGATTTTTGTCGACCAAAAATAATTCTTGCCTGAGATAACTTATTTAAGGCAGAAGTATTGGGTGCCATATGATAAGGTAGCAAAAATCTGTCTAAGATTCTTCTCACTGTTCCCTCCCTCTTCGCTCTCTTGAAGGCACGAAGGGTTCACCTTGTCCATAGGATTGAGGTTCATGACGAATTGGACGTTTAGGAGGGAAAACTCGGCTGTCACTCGTTTTGAGAGTCGAAGATATTTGACTAGACTTGGGGCAACTAAACTTTTCCCGGAAGACTGGAGGATGCTTTTGACACGAGTGTTTCAGCAGAGTTGTATTTAAAGCATGACGACCTGAAATGATATCATTTGATGAAGGTTACATGTTAAAGCATATACTGTCTTATGCGGGATCCTATCAGCTGCGTAGTAACTTGCACCACTGCACTTCTGTGCATAGTAATATTTCGAAACTCAGTCAATCAATAGATAGTCATTGAGGTTGTTAATCTTTACTGAATAAGGGAGGTAGGATATATGAGTCGCTCAAAACAAACCACAGCCATCCTAGACACATGGTCTCAAAATAAAGTAGGATTAAGCTGCAAAAAAGATAGTAGTAGTATTGGTCTGACTGAAATATGCCGCCAATCCAAAATGTCTGTAACTGTCAACCTAATCTATACAAGAATCTGTAGACAGTCTGAATGAAGTCCTGAAGATGATGAACATTAATGGTTCAGAATCTTGAAACCGTTCGCAGTAGCACAGATCTAAATTTTGATCATCTCTTATTCATCGTTGAGTTATTCTCCCTCCCTACATGTATAACATTTAAACGTGTTCTCTCAGAATATGCGACTTGAATAGATACACTTATGTGCAAGATTATACATCGATTCCACCTTTGTGTTGAGTAACAGAAAGATAGTTAAGGAAGGGTGATATTACTGTCCTATTAAGCTCTAGATTTTTAAGAACATTAAAATTAAAGAAGGCAAAAGACTAAGTATGTTTTCTTTCTCACTTAGAATTTCACTAGTTTATATGCACCAGCTATCTTGGAGATTCAGACGTATGCATCTATTGCTGTCAGTTTTCATCACGGTGGATATCTCCACAAGCAGATATAAGTTAAAGAACTATTTGGAAGCAACGAGCGCTAAACAGCCCTTTTGTCCTGATTGAGAGTTCTTCACCAGTATTTGCTCATGACTCCACTAGGGTTTGACTTAGAACCTTCAGGTTACGAATACAACACATTACTACTTAGTCATCAGTCACTGGGTCAGAATGCAATGGTCCTTCAGGTGATGTAATTTCATGACAAAATCTTACCGGCAGTCAACTATATCTTCCACGTACCCAACATTTGAATGTGTAGTTTTATTAATTCATTAAGAGATGATATGTAGTTTGCTTGATTTTAAACTGCTATTGAGCAATTTTTAAACTTTACTATTTCACTTCACTATTTCACTTGTGTTTACGAGGCAATGGTGCCCATATTGCAAACCTGACTGGTAGAATTCAGTCTGCACCACAGAAAGGACCTGACACAACACATTAGTTACTAGTATCTAATCAAAGTATCCACAACAGCAGTGTATCCACTATACCTCTACTGCTACGTTAAGGAGTAAAATAATAAGATTAATAAATAATTCACATACTACGTCTACGGTAGAAGTATTTCAGTTTTCAAGGTTTGGTAAATTGGTATCTCTATATAGCCAAATTATGTACACCTTATCTCCAACGCACAATTTGCACAGACCTTCGTGTTGTGGTACTTCTCGCCTTCTTTCAAAATGTGTTTCTTTGTGTTCCTTCAACATCTCCCATGTATCTGCGCAACGCTGTATCATTTGCTTTCACTGACATCAAATCTATCTCCCTGCTATTTGATATTTTATGCCTATGAACATCCCTTTATTTATACTCCTGATAAATCTTATCAGGAGCACACGCCAAACACTTACGTCAAGTGTCGCCCTTTTATGGTTTATATTTGTGTTAGTTTTATTTCTTAATATTATTTATTTTATTCCTGTGTGTTCCGAGTGAATCATACTGTTTCAAGTTTAAGCTTTTCAGTTTTAGCAGCAGTTGTGTCATTCTTATTACTGAGTAGGGTTGTTAGCCGCACTCTCAACCTTACCTCTTCATTAGTGTTAATTACTGGCTAAGCCAAGGGTTATGAGTGCATCGACTGGGGATCGAACCTCAGACAACGTGAAGCATGATTGGCGAGCATTCTACCTCTGAGCCACTGATGCAGTATGTGTGCATGTGTGTTAGCTCAGCCATTGCTAACCAGTCCCGTTTATTTTTGTTGTCTTATCTTGAACCTAATCTCGTTTTCCCCGGCAATTTTATAAAAAGTTTATCAACATTCTTATTCCCATCATTTTTCAAAAGTTTTGATATCTTTCTCTGTACGTGATAAAGTAAGTTGCAATATGTAGAATAATTGCTCATTTTTGTTAAATCCTTTTCATCGGTAGTCAAAAAAGCTTCTGACTTAGTTTCTACACACTGCTGTAAACGATAAACGTTTATTCATTTCCTCTTGTGTTTTATTTTTATTTGATATACATATCTAGGATGCTCCTGATTCAAAGACGGAATCACTCAGTATACCGGAGGATAATAAATCAAGTGCTCTTTCACACCTTCCCTCACTTATACTCCCAGTGAAGCTGCATCGTCATTTATTACAAACGAAAACAAAACGTGATTCACAAATTAAAAATATGTGGTTCTATCTAGGTCCATCAACAACTTTTAACAATCTACCAGATATTCCTGTTGCTCATGTCTGTGAAGAACTGGCTAAAGATTTAATTCAAGAAGCCATTGATGAACTGTATCAAACAATTGATCATACAGCCTCAGAATTAGTAGATGAATTAATCAAAGCTGAACTTCTACCAGAAGCCCCGGATACGAGTATCTCATTTGACAATAGATGTGAAGATGATCCACACTGTTTGTCTACACCTGCACTATTTCGTCAATCAGATTTAATAGTACATGAATTCGAAGCTCCTGTATTATCTAAGAATTGTGGTGAAGAAAATCAGAATACTTCAAATTCTACATCGATTATACTAGAGCATGATTCTAATTTATCCGGTGAACAGTCAGTTGATGAGTTGTCGAACTGTCAGAGTATTAGAAATGCTAGTGAAATAGAAGAAGAGGTCAGCGAAAAATATACCTCAGAATTTGAGCAAGATACTGTCTCGTAAATGTCTTCCTTCTATTGTTAATTAACGACATTATACACATTTCCTTCTTTCTTTATGTTAACAGTTTTGTATTAATAAAAATTTATACGAGCTGCTTTAACTACTTGTAAGTAGGCGTTTTCGTTTTGTGTAAGTTTCTCGGCTAATTTGTCGAAACTCCACATATATATCCTCTTCAATTCATTGTTTCGGCAAGTTAAGTTGGGTATTTTTAATGTACCTTATCAAATAAATCTAGGTGTAATCACATGTGACCTAGTTTACGGAATAAAATCGTTCTCCAATAAAATATAATGATAGATCAACCTATATATAGCCTATTCTGCATGAGATTGAAATTCCCATCGTGGTTTTGCTTATTTAACCAATACATCTAAAGACAAGAGTGGTAGTAATAGCTGGGTCGTTCTGATGATGAACTACCTACCTGGATGATATTTCGCTTAAGTCAGTCTTTGTTTCTCCCGTGTATTGATTGAACCGAAATTTTCGGCTTCAGTTGACATGGTGGCTCCAAGTGCGGACGCTTCGACGATTTTTTAGGATTAACATTGATGTTGTTTGGTGGATTGGTGTGAATTTCCTCCCATTTGGCAATGCTCATCTGGATATACGTGCAACTTCTGGTGACTAGTGGTGTTGAGATTTCACTAGGATTTTTATTGACTGATTACTAAAAAGTAACTAGTGTCATGTGTATAGTGCTGATTAAACTCCGTCAGTCAAGTTCACAGTTTAGCCACCACGATATGTGACTAGCCGTTGCAGTGCACTTTCAGTGCGTTGGAGACAATCTGTAGTAATCCTTGAACCTAGACTTCGTGCGTGTCGGTACTCATCAACTGAGCCTATTTGCAATTCTGAAGGAACTTGTTTCCCCTCTGAGATTGATTTTTCAACTGTATGCGTTCCATTTTGTATAGTCGGGTTTGTAATTAGGGTATCCTATATTCAGTACCAGAAGCCATAGAGAAAGTTGGATTATCCATCTTCCTCAGTCAACTTTGTGCTATTCCTGCATCGTAGAGTATGGAGTACTGTACTCTGGAATACTGGTCACCCACCTTACTCCTTATTAGTCAGTAGTAAGAATTTACTATTAGACACCCACAAAACATAAGCTTCTTACGGTGGAATTTGATTTTTGGTTTTGCCAATGTCTAATAGAACTAATGATGTTTGACCTCAGCGAACAATAATTTCTGCTAGCATTGCTTCTTTAGTCATCCTAAAGATGAACTCTGACCATTACAAAAAGGTGGCAGATGTCAGGTAGGAAACAACTTTTTATAGCAGAATACATTCACAAAATAAGATGGGTTAAACAACAAAATTAGAAAACAGATCATTATTATTACTGTTATTATTCCCTTGGGATCCGAGTGTTACTTAGGGCTTCAAAAAAACATGTCTATTTCACCCTGTTGTATGCCGTCCTTTTAAGCGCTGGTTCCACTATTGCCCATATGCTTCCATTTCCTCCTTACACAATCTCCTCTATGTCACTCTCAACTTATGATTTCCCATTGGCGTTCCACTCGAGCAACTGGAGCGTGATATCATTCAAATGTCTCCTCAGTGTATATTTGTTCATCTCCATTTTCTTCTGCCTTTTTTTCAGAGCGATTGGTTTTTGATGAGTTCGCTACTTGGTGCTAATCCTTTCTGGCCATCTGATTTTCTCTTGAAGTCAGCTGTTTTAATGAAAGTCTTCAACCTGTTATAAATGCTTTTGGTGACACTGGTGCCAAGTCTCTGGACCATGTAGAAGCAGTGGTTAACTTTATATTAGTGTTTAAAATTCGATTCTTGTTACTCACGCTGAGTGCAGCAGGTTTCCACGCTGATTTCAGAGTAAAGATCATCTGTCTTACTTTTCCAATCTTTTCTCATCTTTAGATGGCATGATGCTGCGTAGATAGGTGACAGAAGTGATTTCCGGCGGAATTCTGCCACTAGTAGTGATTGGTGCTTGTTGTTTTTGTTAACTGCGTGTCTTTCTCACCTCTGTTTTCTTTCTATTCACCTGAAGTCCTGCCTTAACTAGCTTTCCTACCAACTTGTTAGTTTTCGCCTGCAGGTCTTCGAGTGTGTGTGTGTGTGTTACACTAAACATAAATCATCTGCGAAGTTTAGATCTCCCCGACTGTCTTCTTATTGGTCCAGCGTATTCATTTTCCATCGTTTCTCATGGTCTGTCGGATGATCCAGTTCACCACAATCATGATATCATCGGCGATATTAGGCAATATTGTCCTCATCCTGCCTTCACTTCAGAGGCTTCTCTGAGGAAACAGATAATCCAGTATAAATGTTTCTTTTAGTAATATTATGAGGAAATTTAATGCATCACAGGGAATCGTATTAAATTATGTGTACCACTGTGGTGAGAGCTGTCTGCAAGCCAAAATTGTAGACAACAGTTTACGTCAATGTTTACGTCCCGAATCAAGGTCATGAGAATAACTATAACAAAGCTTGACCTTGATGAATTCACCAACCAATCACATCAGACTTAGCGTGTGCAAATACGATTCACAGATATATGGATAACCTTGTAAGCAACGGTCACAAGCAGTACGGAGTAACCTTCAGCAAGAAAACAACCAATCAGAAGACGTTGCTTCTCTGCTAACAATAACGCTAATAATAATAATGTACATAGAAATCTATAAATGTCTGTTGATTTTCTCAATAAAGGATCTGTTACTTGGCCCCTGTCTTCTGTTGTTACACCACAACCCGGAGATTCTTCGACATTAGCCAGCGCACGTGGGATTTTTTTTTGCAGAGGTTTAATTTACAGATGAAGTCATTCAATAGTAATGTTCCTTTCTGTATACACAGTAGTTGACTTTAAGTTTCCAAGATGTAGTAGACATATATATATCATTAGCACAGGTTACCAAATACGCAGACTGGGGGGGGGGGGGAGTCACAAGTAGAATCTAACATTTGTGCATATAGCATCAATTTCCGTAAAACCATATCTAGTAAATCAGTTCTTTTAAAAAGAATTGAATGAAAGCAATCATGAATCATATATTTTTGTTGTGTTTACTTTTGGTCACATTTACCTAAGCTTTATGTAAGAATATTAAGAATACAGTTGGTCCTTTTCAGATGTAAGATGATGCTGTAGGAGTGTTTTAGACTGATTTCTGCTCTAAGGATAGAGACACAAGTGGTTGGATGTATTTACCACTTAAATTATTTGATGAGTTACATCAAATGAAATTATTGATATGAGTGTAAAACTTGGGCACTGTGGTAGAGCATAACTCCATTATGGATAAGATTTTATTTTGATGAATCACACAGCGTTGTACAGTAATATTAACTGATGACCACGTTTCGAGCACAAACTATTGCCACTCATAATCATATCAAGTCACTCACTCACACAACTTTTTACTTCATTTATATACATGTGTGGAATCGATTAGATATTGAAATAAAATTCAATATGAGATGATGTACATTCAGAAATAATAATACGAGTGTTATTGATCAATTACCATCAGATGGGAAATAAGACGAGTGTTTCTATAATCATAATAAGTTACTTGTTGGAATGTTGTGATGTGTTTGAATTGAAATAGAATTTTATGATTATTTATTATTCTCTTCTGATTTGACTGGCGGTAATAATATCTTCCATATTTCTGGTATTTGCATTGAGTCATTTCTGTTGCATGTGAACCAGGATTCAGTAATCATTTCCCATCTGATTGTAATTGATCAATAACACTCGTATTATTATTTCTGAATGTACATCATCTCATATTGAATTTTATTTCAATATCTAATCGATTCCACACATGTATATAAATGAAGTAAAAAGTTGCGTGAGTGAGTGACTTGATATGATTATGAGTGGCAATAATTTGTGCTCGAAGCGTGGTCATCAGTTAATATTACTGTACAACACTGTGTGATTTATCAAAATAAAATCTTATCCCAAATGGAGGATCAAATGTAATTCACTGGTTGATTTTTGACGAGACCACCGCATGGATACTGGAACTCGTCTGATATTCGGTAAGTTTTAAATCAGTTTCTGGGCTGGCATAATGTCTGACTACTCATCAGATGGCGTGTAAAGTATGCAACAATTTTCTCAGTTGCACTTCACAACTCTAAGATATGGTCGTTAGTGGTGGGAGATATGAAAAGATTTGTGTTTCTATCCAAACGCATCTTTCAATTTATCTGGCTAAGATGAGTGATATGATAAGTAATAATGAGCTTAAATGTAGAATGAATCCCCATCGATGGAGGCGGATAGCATATGATTAACGCATACTGTGCCATCGATTTCCTCGTGGGTGTACATTAAGTGATATAAGATTAGATTGGAAAAGAGTTAGTGGTAATCAATCCATGAAGTCTCTGAATGTTAGTTTTTGACATATAGTCAAGTGTTGAGTGCCTGATTGGGATAACTAGGAGGTTAAGAATTATTGGTTGGAAACTGTTAGTTTTGATCTTTGAGATGCAATAAGTCCTTATTATTCTTTATGTAATTGTTCTTTCTCGTGTGCATTTAAGTTTTATTATTACTTCATATTGCATTTCTTTTCGCTACTTTTATGATAAAAGTTGGTAAAAGTTCGCAGTAGGCTGTTGGAAACGCTTTCAGTGACCCGCGTATTAAGTATCTGAACCGTATAGAACCACCGATTTGACATTACTGTAGAACAGAATTCGAAATTTGTTCCTTATGCTGAGTGCAGCCGATTTCCACATTGATTTCAGATTAATGAAAATCCGTCTGGCTTTTCCAATCTTACCTTCGACTTCCTCATCCATTCTGTGCTTATAGTTGACATGTCGCCGCTTATATAAGCGAAGTGATCTCTTTCCATTTCCTCTTGTTGATGGCGATCGATGCTTCTTGTTGTTGGTTGGTTATCTTCGTCACCTCTGGCTTTTCAGTGTTCACTTGAAGTCGTGTCTTTGTTGCCTGCCTTTCCTTCCAGCTTGTTGGCTTTCACCTGTAGACTCACAAGTCTGTGTGACATTGTATCGCCTAAATAACATATGAATAAATTTTTATAAATGATTAAGGATGTGTGTATTCTATAGATTTAACCTTCGTTATTGTTTTATTTGTACTCAAATTCATACTACTTATTAGTAACAAGTAGTAAGTTATTT